TCTCACACTAAATCTCCTTTCCATTCTATAGTAACCCCTGAATGACAATTTATACCAATTTTAGTATTTATCATATTATAATTTTCAAAGGTGAAAATCATTAAAAAAACAAAACAAACAAAAAACATCTGCTTAGAGAGGTTCACATTTATTGAAATAACATGAAGTATGGATACCTCCATATTGTGCACTTAGTTTCATTTTTTCTATTTAATTCGTTTTCAAAATAATAATATTTTTATTATACATATTTGTTTCTTCTTCCCATTTATTTCAAAATACATAATGCAGGCAAACCCGCAAGTTATGTGACATGATTTTCCAGCCATATAATTACAGTTTACAATTACACACACACAGTGTTTTCATCTATCAAGTACTTGCCAAACATTTGAGATGTTTATAAAAAAGTTCTAGTGTAGTGAATTTTATAAATATATACTGTTATGTATGTTTAAATTTATTTAATAATGTTGCTATTATGTATTATGCATGTTTATTATTTTTCACATGCATAATAGTTGGAATATAATATGCAAGTATTTGTTCATATACATGGATTGATATAATAATAGACATACTGTATTTCCTATTAAAAATTCTGTAAAAACAGAAAACTGCCCTAATTCAAGAACCCCTTGTCAAATTTTAATGAAATTTGGCACTTGACAGGAATTCAAGGTGCAGTATGTTCCTAAATTGGTTGGGGTATTATATATCATTTAAGTTGTATCTTGGGAATACACACAAACTCAAGATTAGGGTTTTAGTATTATATAGATAGATATGATTATTATATTTATTTGAAGTTATATATGTCTTATTATAATTCAACTTTTTCCAAAGATTACTTGGTTCTTCTGTATTAGTATTTAATTGTTTTTGTACAACTAACTTAAGATCATTTGCCTTCTTTTTACTTTCTGTTTTTGCTTACCTAGTTACATTTATCAACTTTGCATTTTTTTTTCTTATTAATAGGTTATTTAGGTGTCAGTACTGTCAAAAAATGTAGTTTAAATTATTTTGTGTATGTTATAAATAATGACTTCACAATCTCCAAGTATTTTATACTTAAATCCCAATTTGTATTTTCATTATTTTCTTTCTGCTATCTTCTTCCAAAAATTAACAAATTTTTCCATATTTGTGTTTGTTTATTTATGTGTGACTATTTTGTAATTTGAGGGTGATAGTGGGAACAAGCTCCCACTGTCAATAAAATTATTCTGTGGCATGCATCTCAAATATATATATATAATTCATATTATCTTTTTACAGCTATATTTTAATTTATATCTGAATTTTCATATTATTACCAGATTATGTGTTCTCTCCCAGAAACTTTAACTAAGGTCTGCTCAGCTTAATTGCAGTAGAAACCACAGGTGGACTCTGTGAATCTTGAACAAATAGAAATGTGACTGAGCTTGTGTCTAGTGATTATCATAGCAGATATGTTTGCTGGTAAAGAATACTGGATCAAATGGTAGCTTATCTTATAAAGGGGGATTCAGGTTGATTCCCTGCTGGAGAGTGTATTTTCTTTATTAAGATTTCTTGAATGTGCAGGCCAATAGACATAATACACACCGTTTAAAATAAAAATGAGTCATCTATAATAATGTTTTGAAGTAATAAAAATTAAAACAAATCCATTAATTCTTTAGAAATTGCTTTGTTTATGTTTTGGATATTAAACTCTGCAGATAGGGGCTTTTGAGAAAAACAATCTGAATGAGGAAGTGTGCTTTCCTGAAAAAGGAAGATAACAAAATAGAGCCTTGCTGAACTGTGATTAGTGATAAAGCACGCTGGGTCAAACTGGTTTCTCCTATGGGGACACAGGTTCAATAACTGTTGAGGAGCACATTTTCTTATGATTTTCTGTTTTAAAATAAAAATAAGGCGTCTATTTCAAATATGAGTATCCAATATAATATTTGAAGTAATAAAAATGTTGGATTAATAATAAATCCATTAATTCAGACACACACACGCAAGTGTTCCTGATCAAACCAGACTCATAAATAATTACATCGGTTACACAACTACATGCTTATCCAGATGCCTTTTGTTACACCTATCTGATCATAGCTCCATTAGAGCCTATTTAAACACACACGCACAAACTTATCAGACTCCATTAGAAACATATTACTAGAAAACACAAATATAATAACTTCATCCACCTGTAAAAAAAGATTAAAAATAATGGAAGCTTTAATAATAAAAAAGAAAAAGTCAACTCTAAACAATATTAACTATGAACAAGGCCAAAATGTGCTAACCATATTTGGAATTTAAAAACATCTCTATAACACACTAAAACATACACATAATGCACACACTCAATTAAGCTGAAAAATTGAATCTTCCTTGATAATGGCTAAAGGTATAGCTGAAAGCGCTTGGAACTATAAATCATTTGGACAGTTTTTACACACACTTTGTCCAGAAAAGAAAGCTCTTGTTCAAACACAAGAAAAAATAAATAAAAATCTTAACCATAGTATCTTGTCTGTCATTTTTAATGAAACATATATATATATATATATATATATATATATATATATATATATATATCTCCAAATGTAAAATAACGAAGAGTAAGATTTCAGTGTTCAGAACATTAATTACAACAGAGCTCACTACAAAATTAGAGTCGTAAATATTTATTTATTATGCAGTGTTACATTAGAACATGCACATACCCACTACAAAACTGTACATTATGTTTCAATGTTAAAAAAATGAAAACTTTTTTAACGTTGAAACATGATGTATCAATCTATTATATGTTCTGTAAAGATGACAGTTGGGTCCCAGGTTGAGTAATTCTTTTTGATGATGTGTTAGTTCATAGAGATATTTATAAGTTTGTTATTATCTGGAAGATGCATAGTTCCTTTGTACAATGTATTAAGTTTTTTTTGGATGTTCAGATGATGTTGCATCTCCGACTTCTTAGCAATTTCTTTAAGTCTATATAGAATTGCCTTGAGTTGTTCAGGTGTGGTGGTCACATTTAGTTTGCTGTGGATCTCTTGTGGTTTCTTATTAAGAATTTTTGCATTGTTTTCTGCTGTCTCAATCTACCTTCTCACAAGGTTACATTTGAATTGCCAAGTGTTGGTACTGTGATGAGCTGCAAAAAAAAAAAAAAAAATTCTGCAAAAAATTGAAAATTGCTTTTTTGACTGCAAATTATTCATTATATCATATCCAAGTATTTTACAAGAAATTAGAGCTGATTACACAATATTTTAAGCTCAATTTATGTTTATAGTTCATAACCATGCAATGAGAGGGTAACATAAACTGTAGATTTGTTTGTGGAATATCATTACATTATTATTACATAATTATAGTGAAATCATTAAGATTTTTTGTCAAAAGCATTTTATTTAATTTAATTAATTTAAAAAATTCCTTTTTACAGGCTTTATTTTTGAAATGGAATAAGATCATTCTAAATTTCAGAATTTCGCTATTGTCCATCAAAATAACTGGAAGAAAGCGATCGTAAAACAACAATAGAAAAGAGAAATAACAAAGAATAAACAAAATATCTCCAGTTCGTTCACCTTAGGAAACTTAGCATTGCAGCCAAAATATCCTAAAATGCTGCCAATAACAAAGGAGAAAATAAAAAATAGTTAACAACAAATCGAATATAGCATCAAAACTTATATTATTTTTATTTATTTATGTAACTAAATACATAATTGTCAACAATGTTTCCATAAAAGTTGATATTTCCTGTAATAAATTCTTAATAAATATTATTATTCTTTTAAGTGTAAGGTAGTCCTTATGGCTAACCAGTGGAGGTCTATAAAAACCAATGTTTTTCTCTCTACACAGTTTTTTTTTTTTTGTCTGTTGCCTGGTGAACCTTTGTCACCCAGCTTTAATCCAACTCAGGATTTTTGCCATTTGATCAGTTGGCTGATTGCTGAGAAAGTCAAGTGGAGATTGTAAGAGAAAAAAGAAAAAACTAGGTCAAAATGAATATAAATATATATATATATATATATATATATATATATATATATAAACATTATATTTAGTAGATTTTAGTAGATATATGTGCTTGAGTAGACATCCCTGTTCATTTTAAACAGTATACATATATGTTGACTGGGTAGTGCATTCAAGAGTTGTAATGAAGAAAATATACCTTCTTTGTGGCAGGATGCAAACCTGCATTCTCCTTGTAGGGTAAACATGTGCGCACACACACAATAATGCTGGTAGTTTGTTTCATACTTCAATGCAATCTTCAGGCCATGTGTGTTGTGTTTTGGCTTGATGGTTCAGTTGTGCATTATGGGTAGTAAGGTGTATTGTATTATTCTGATGGTTATTGTGTAGACAGTAACGCTTATGTTTCAAATTATTTTAGAGACTATTGAGTAGAAATAATTATGGATCCAAATGCAGTTATTTGTAGCTATAAATACTGCCTACTCAATAGATGCCAGGATAATACAATAGACCTTACTACCCATAATGCACCACTGATCAGCATATATAAATATTTGAGCCAAGACACAACATCCTAACAGAGCAGCATACTCAAAAATAAGTAGCCAACCATTATATATATATATATATATATATATATATAACCTTGCTTGATCACAATGATTTTCGTAGCTGGGTTGATTACAGCACAATGATTTTTTCTGTAAAGGATGCAGGTTCGCACGTGTGTGTGTGTGTGTGTGTGTATATATATATATATATATATATATATATGTGTGTGTATATAAATATATATATTAAATGGACAGCTCCACTGTCTTAACAGTAGGTTATTTAAATTTTACAATGGTCAGTTTTCAATCAGTACCTGAGTTGTACCAAATAGTGAGGAAAAGAAAAAAAATTTTTTTTTTTAAATGTGTTTTTGTATGAGCTTTAAACTTTATAAAACTGATTTTTTTTGAATTTGAACTTAATGAAAATTGATATTTATATTTCTGTATTTTAAGGTATGTGGTCTTGACACTGAATGGGTGACAAAAGATAAAGTAAGACAACCAATTGCTTTGTTGCAGTTAGCAGTTAAAAGTGGTCTCTGTATTCTGATTCGACTCAATATGATGGCTAAACCAATACCTGAATCAATGCAAGAACTGTTGGCAAATCCAAGGTATATAAAACATTTAACAGATTTTCTTTAAATCATTCTTGATAGTTTTTATTGTGCATTACTTTCACTGTTGATTTTTGAGCAAATTCTTTGCAGATATTAAGAAATTGTGTATCGTTATACCACAAGTGTTGCAAATATTACATTATATCATTTTGTCAAATGAGCTTGTTGTGGGCTGGTGTGGTGTATGCATTGAGAGATAAATGTGTGTCTTCTGAAATGACCACAACAAACATGACAGACTCTGGATGTGAGTCCATGTAAAGAAACAACAAGAACCAATATATGTGTACGAATGAATGATAATGTATGTATTAACAAAACAAGGGTATACATAAACAATAGAATATTGTTGCATGTTACTGAACAATGAACATGAATGAAGAAAACATTTAAACTAGTGAATTGTGTGTGTTTAGGAGAAAGTCCTATAGAAAATTAAGTGAAAGGTGTGTACATGTGTGTATGTTCCCTAGTGGGAAAGCATTTTCCACGTTCAACTTACATCTTGACATCCTGAGTGAAATAAGGAAAAAAGAGGATGACAGAGAATATCAGTGCCTATTTATAGTTCTGAAAGTGTCTCCTAGGAGCGGTTTCAAAAATTAGGGGGTATGTAACATCCTTTTGACACTGTCTTATTATAAGCACATTTATCCATGTTTGCTTATATTTCTTTCTCTCTAAATACTTGATATGCTCCACTAAATTGTGTGAATTTCATTTGGATCTTTGATTTGTGGTCAAGGATTGTTAATATTATATTTTTTTTTCAAAGCCTTATCTTGAGAGTCTGGCTAGTTTTAACCTTTTATTTCATAAGGTACTGTAAAACAGATTTAGTAAACTATTGATTAAAAATATATTTCTGGAGGATGCTATCTTTCATAAGACATTTTTAAATTATTCAGTTTTAAGGGAAAAAAAAAACTCTTAAAAATACTCTTATGTGATCAATATTTGGTAAGAAGAAATTTGAATTTTTCATGATGTTTATTCATTCATATTTTCTTAAGAAAATTCCTTGTTTGTATTTTAAAATTTCTCTATATGAACTGGCCAGATGTAGCTGTTCAAGTGTGCATTTGTTTACAACCGAATTTAATAATACCAAATGAATTCACCATAGAGGAGTATATGCTATTGAATCAGTCCAGGCAAGATAGCAGCTTCCATATCACTGTGGTGTACTTTAAAGTTACTGGTTAGTTTTCTGATTTTTCATTGATTGAATTACAATGACATACTACAACAACCAAGCATAGACTTATGAATGTTCAGAAATCCTAAATGGATGAATTTAATTTTGATGAGGATTTGACTTTTGACAACACTGACAATAGGTCAAGTTACTTATACTGTTCAGTGTTAGTATATACTGTGGGCTAATAGATGATTTTATTGCATTTGGTTTCCTGAAATCAGATATTCATGAGTGAAAATACCTCTTCCATGTAGTATGAGCTTAATTCTAGTAGAATATATATTTTATAGTGTGTGCCAGATAATTTTTTTTTAATTGGATTTATCCCAAGCAAGGCAATAAAGCCACTCAGACACAAGGGTTTACTGAGTGTGAAAGAATTAGCAAACAAACATTACTAAGGAGTGAGAACAATAGAAGAGTAATCAATAAAACAGTAGATAATGATTGACATTGCATTTGAATTTTTTAAGATCAAAGTTAACTTGGAAGCATGGAGATGGAAAAGAGATCCGCAAGTGAGGAGTGAAAGAAAAGAAACTGTTAGCATAGAACTTACGGTTACATCTAGCCATTTCAACAGTAAATTGATGAGAACTTGTTGCCAATCCTATACTGTTCTTAAATTCACAAGGTCTAGATACCATAGCAAAGAGTTATCTGAACAATTACCATGAAAGTATTTATAGAAAAGTTACAAGGAAGCAACTTTAAGACATTGATTGATACTGAGATGCTAGGACAGGACCAGTAATATTACTGATTCTTCTTTTGGATTTTATCAAGAATCTCTAAATATATAGTAGGATCCCCAAACCATATGTGGCAGCAGTAATCTAAGCATGGATGAATGGTAGACTTATAGATATGTAAGATAGATACTGGAGACAAAAAATGCCTTGCATGAAACCGTGAACCAACCTTTTTAGCATCTGAGGTAGCAATGGATTCAATATAGTCTTTCCAGTAGGAACAGATTATAAAGAATAGCAAAAATCATCAAGAGAAAAAATATATTTAAAAATAAAAAGAAAATACTGTTCATTAAAACTGCCTTCAACATTGAGAACAGACTTAAAAGTGATTGTACATTTGCATCAGATGGCTTTCATGCATAATGGCTATCATGTTAATGACAGCTGCTTTTAACGAGTCCTTGGCACTGCAGGGCCTGCTGTTTGGTCACTCTTCTCCAGATTTAGTAGTCCAGGGGATTCAAATCAGGGGAGCTAGGATGTTATGTGTTGAGGGTGATAAGATCATGAAAATTCATGACCAACCACTGTCATGTAGGCAATGTGGGAGAATGTAGACATATGGGAACATTTATTGCCATCACCTAACTCTAGGGTTTTATCATTGTGTCCTGCACCATGATGTAGGTAATGGTATTGTCCTTGATGCCTTACAGGAAAGTGGTAAGCTTGTTGTGGATATAGTCATCTGTCATTTCCTGTTGTTAATTAGGTTATTTTCAGGAAGCTTTGAGTCACAACATGCTTTTTAATTTCCTGTGGCAGATTGGAATTTGGTACATTAATATTTTTGCTACATCTAAAAGAGAAATGAAACTTAAAATTTGGTGCATACCACATAGCATTATCTTCCATTTATGACACATTAAACCTGCCTTCTAAAACATATGTATGGAGGACTTAACTTATGAAGATAGGTTACAAATTTGAGTTATTTTATTTTGCATTTTTCACGTATGGAACTCTTTTCTGGCTCCAAGTTTTTCCTATCGGCTTTAGTATTCAAAAATTTAAATGCAATATCAATTGTTATCTACTGTCCTCCTGATTACTCTTCTTTTCTTCTTGCTCCTTAGTAATCTTTCTGTCTTCTAATTTTTCAGCAGCCAGTATCTCCTTGTGTCTTAGTGGCTTTACTGCCTTGCCCGGGGTGAACTTTATTTTAAAAAAAAGACAGTCTGAAAAATATAGAAAGAAACAAAGAAATGAAAATATTAGATAATAAAAAGCAAAAATAACCAATGTATATTTGAGTTTCTGTGGGAGAATATAAATTTCTATATATCAAAACAAGGTTGGGTAACAGAATGAGAAAAATTTTCATTTAAAGGACAAAACAAGTTACATAATTTTTTTTTTTTTTTCCATTTTAACATTCAATTTCCCACCATGAGTTTTATTGTATGTTATCTTTTAATGGGAAAAAAAACAAACTAATTAACTGGGTCATCCGTTGGGTCACTCTTTATAGAAGTTTCAGTTGCACTTATATTAGGAGAGACAAGGTGTTACTCTGTGTTCCAAGAGTTTTTCCATCTGCTTCAGATTTTAAATGAAAAATCTCTTAGACTGGTTGCCAACTATGGCCAGAATTCCAAGTTTGCTAGTTAACCCATAGCTAGGGGGAAAAGATGGATTCATACCTTTCCCATGGGTATTTATGTGTAAATGAATGTCACAAACTTGTTTGGAATTCAAACTCTGCTCTCATATTTGATTCTAAATTGCTGTCTATTGCATCACTTCTACATCCAAGATACTAGAAATAAATAAATAGGGTGCTGAAAAAATGTAAAAAAAAAAGTTAAGAAGAAATACTAATGTAAAGTTAGATTTATAATAGAAAACATTTTTTTTTTTACTTTTTATGAAAATCATAAATAATGGTCAGAAGAGAAGAATGCAATGACCAAATTTACTAGTATTTAGTTATATTCATTTATCACTAGTGACATTCAAGATGTTACCTAAATATTCATGGAATGTAAACAGCATATAAGAATTGAATGTCAAATGGACTTTGGCATTACTCTTTTCTAAAGAAAGGACATGACTTTAAAGGAAAACTTTTTAAACTAAGAATTTAAGCAATTTTTTTGTTTATGGTCAAATTCCTCAAACATTTTGAAAATATCTTGTATTATTTACATGTATCTTGCTTGTTTTTCAATGTTTTATGTTTTTTGTCTCTTGTTTAGTATCCTGAAAGTTGGAGTATCTATCAGTGAAGATTCCAAGAAGTTGTTATCTGATCATGGATTAGTAGTGAGAGGATTTTTAGATCTTCGTAATGTTGTTGACCGAGTTGGACGAGTCTATTCTTGGTGAGTTTTACTTATTTAATTGTTTTACTTTTGCTTGAATTCTTTTTATGGACTGCTGGAATGTATATTTAACATGCTGTCTTTTATATATATATATGAGGTCTGTTCAGGAAGTATTAAACCATTTTGCATCTCTCAAGAACTATTCAGCTTTAATGTAATGTGGTAACCAATCAAAGAGGACCTTACTACGCATGTGAGAACACTCTCCTATGTTGTCATTCATTTGGTAATGAATGAAATTGTATGATTGTTATATTCACAATGATCAAGTAAGTACTTTTAAGTTTGGAAAAACATTCAAAATTAATTTATTTTTGGAATGTAAAGAAGGGAGAGGAGGTTGGAATAAATGGACAGCTTGGACAAAGTAGAGAATAAAATAAATTGGAGCTTGAAATAACAGTGGGTAGGCTGGAAAAAAAAAAAATTTATATAGCTAAGCAGAGCCATCTACTCCTAATGTCTGATTAGATCAATGAATATGAATCACATACATCCAGAAACTATTTGGTGATGATTCAACAAGTGAAGTCCAGATAAAAATTTTGTTACTAACATTTCAAACTTGGCTGGGAATCTATTGAAAGTGATTCACATTTTGGAAAACCAGAATATCTAATAATGTTGAATGTATATAAGTTAATATCTAAGGAAAGTGACAATTAACAATGCAAGAATTTGAAGATTTTCACAAACTACCTTTTTTTTTTTTTTTTTTTTTTTTTTTTTTAAAGCGTTTTACCCCAAGCAAGGCAGGAAGCCACTAGGACACAAGGGGTTACAGAAGATTTGGAGCAAGATCAGATAGGAGTGATAGAGGAAAGGATGAGGAGAAGGATAGTGGATAGATCAAGGCAACTGGAGATGTCGATTGACATTACATTTGAATAGTTGGAGATTATAGCTCTCAGGGAAACTGGAATAGAGAAGGGAGTTCCACAGGTGAGAGGTGCAAGACATGAAGCTATTGGAGTAGAAGAGACGGCTACATTTAGTAGTTTCGACAGTGAAAGGGTGAGAGCGAGATGCCAGCCTTGTAGGGCGCTTGAACTCATGAAGTCTGGGAACCAGCGAATGCAGCTCCTTGGAGCAATTGCCATGAAAGTATTTGTAAAAAAGACAGAGAGAGGTGACGGCGTGTCTGTGAGAGAGTTACTGTAGATGAGATGCCAGAACAGGGCCAATTATATTGCATATCTGCCTCTGGAGCCTATCAAGAACCCCGAGGCAAACAGAAGGAGCTCCAGACCATATATGGCAGCAATACTCCATGCAAGGGCGAATTGTTGATTTGTAGATCTGGAGGATCGATTCTGGGGAGAAAAATTTCCTGGCACGGCATAGGGAGCCAACTTTCCTTGCGGTGGACAAAGCAATTGACTCAATGTATTTGTTCCATCTCAGGTCAGCAGTCAATGTGAGACCGAGCAGCCACAGAGAAGTGCTCTTGAGAAGTTGAGCGTCAGACATTCTAATGGAGGGCAGGGAAGGATCTCTGTGGTGATTAATAGAGAGCAGTTTTGTTTTAGAGGCATTAAAGTTGACCAGCCAATTCCTGCCCCTGTTCACAACCGATTGGAGGTCCTTTTTAGAAAATATCCAATTATTTTGATCATCATGAGTGCTTATTTATGTTTCTTCTAGTTTTTTTTTTCTTTTTATAAATAAGAACACATTGTCCACTTTTGGTTTTTCTAAAACTAAAATTGCCATTGACAGGAGGAAATTTCAGATAGTGGATAAGATTGAAGAGCAGGCAGCTGATGGGAATCCCAAAAGAGGACCTTGCAGTCTGTTTCAAAAAGTGAAAGGGACATTTGAATAAAAGAGCTAAGTCCCAAGAGGAAGTATTTTCAAGAACACTGATAATAAATGACTGGATCATTTATGGACAAACATTGCATAAATTTTCATAGTATTTTATACGGATTATGATTTAATGTAGACAGGTAGTTTCCCAAGTTACAAGAAGGAAGTTCCACTTACACAGTTTCTTTCCAAGAACCTCTATTCAAGAACCTCTTGCTAAACACTAAAATCTTAATCTTTTAAGTCTAGAGTCAATTGTTATCTATCCTGTTTATCCTCACTTTCTTCTTTATTCTCTTATATCTGTATCATGCACTCCATTCAATGACCCTCTACCATGAGTTGTTCTTAAGCCTTATATTGATTGGACATTAGTTAAAAAAAAGATGATCCATGCTTAAGATTGTCATAAGAAAACTAAGTAAATGTATACTAAAGATGTTATATTAGTGGGAGACTGCATAATAATGGATGCCTGATTGCTTTTCACACATGCCAGGCAATTTTAGCCATATCTTGGCTTACTTCATGCAACCACCACTTAATAGCAATATTCTGTAAATAAACCATTTATCAGCTTTTATATTTGTAAATCTGACAGCTTTTATAGCAGAAAGAGCTTCAGTAGGCAGCTTTGCATTTTAAAATTTTTTTGGTGATTTTTCTATCCCTCAGAAAGAAAGAAAAAAAATAGAAATATAACATTGATGTTAACTCCTCAATGCCCACTGTAAAATCCAGTATCAAAATCAGGTATTATGGTTTAAAAAAATTCAATATTATAAGTGCATAAAAATCTGATATTATAAAGGGTGTTTCATTAAGCTGGATCAAAGTCAGCAGTAAATAAATCAGTGTTACTGGTGAAAATTTATTTATTTCTCTGTTATTTCTCTCATGTTATTTAAGTCATGGCAATTATGTGTGAAAAATAATATTGCCCAAATGCCCACCAAATCTGAAAGGAAAAGAAAAAAATCATTAGATGCTTAAACTTAATTCACATTAAAATTGGTCCAAGTTATTGGAACACACTTTAGTTTCTACCTAGGGCACATTAATGCTCACTAGCCCTTTTGGAACTGTGCATTAATGGAGAAAATAAATTCCTCCTACTAGAATTCACTAAAAGAGGTGTTCAGAAAAGAACCATGCTGTAGTCTGGGGAATATCTATTTTCATGTAGCCTGTGTTGCCCATTTTATAGAGCATCTATCAATATACATCCATTCATTATGCAGTCTGTCTCCAAACATAAACAATAATGAACCTAGTGATGAGGAAATTAAGAAACCTATTAAAAATCTAAAACTGAGCTTTCAAAAATAGCTTACTCTCAATCTGAATACAATAGCAAGTTTTTCATTTTTATGAATTAAATCTAGATTCAGAAATATCCCCCAAAAGTAGGGTTTATCATGCATTAATGCATTATGGAAATAAAAAGGTAACCCTTAAAACCCTCACACATACAGATGTATCTCAATTAGATTTATTATGATGAAAGTGTTAATGAACATTGTATTAATTAAGCTCTCATTGTTTTATGAAAGTCAGCTCCTTAAAACCCTGTTTGCTTTTTGTTTGAGTAAAGGGATGCAATGATGGCGAATACATCATCAAACAATTTTAACAAATTACTTACTTCTCTAATAGGAAAATATATACCTGCTTTGTTGACCTTATAGCAGCATATGACCATATCAACAGAGACTTGCTCTTCTCATCCATTAGAAACTGCCTTCCAAGCTCTGAATCCACTGAATCTAATTGAGGAACTGTATCAATCTACAGAATCTTATTTGTCTAGCAAGGATCCCATTACAGAAACATTTCAAATTTCATCAGAAGTATTACAAGGAAGAAATGAAAGCCCCAGTCTATTTAATCTTTTCTCAGACTATGCCCTGTGCATTTACAAACACAGATGATTTAAGCATTCAAATACCACATCCCAAACGAATCTATCAGATTATTGCAAAAGTTTTTGCACAAATTTCATTGTTAATAAAAATGACTGTAACTTGACATTAGTGTTTGTTTTGATGCTGATTTTTGGTATGTTCTAGATTGAAACCTTCCTTTATTCATTTGTGAGTCACATTTGTTGAATGTTAATGCTTTGTCCACAAATGAATGCCTTAAAGATGGAGGATGAAAAATTTCACTTTTGCTATATTATGCTCGATGAATTTTCGAAAGGATTAAACATTGGAATGCAAAAAAGAAAAAACGTTCAGAAAGTTTATTTGGATTGTGCTCCAGCTCTCTGGACTGTCAAAAAGTGGTTTGGCAGATTTTGTCAGTGATTTTAACCTAAATGATCAGCCATGTTCTGAGTGACCTTCCGATGTCTATAAAATTGTTCTACTCTGCTTGTCATTGTGGAAAAAAACAGATTTTGACTGAAGAAATTGTTAAGAATTTGAAAATTGATATCGCAGTTGCTTTTTGCCATTTGAAGAGCTTTAATAAAAACAGCCAATTTTGGCAAATCCATAATTTGCCAATTTCCACCATAACAATTCAAAAATGCATGTTGCAAAACAGACTTTTCAGAAGCTTAAAGAGTTGAAATGGGAAACCCTCCAACACTCAGCATATTCTCTTGACTTGGCTTCTTTAGATTTTCATTTGTTCCAGTCTCTAGAACAATTTTAATGACAAAAACCGACTCTGTACAGTCAATTGAAAACTACTTCACAACCTTCCAACAATAAGCATGAAGTTTCTAAGAAGCTTGTAGAATGATGGGAGTTGTTAAAAACAATGGAAACAATGTACTTGACTAATGTTTTTTGTGAGTATGGAAAATTTTATTTTTAATTTTCTAATCAGGTCCAATCTCTTGCAATGATCTAATACTAATAGAAGACAACATTCCTGCTTTTCTCCACAAGGCCAATGCACTGGTGATAGGGGTGGGGTCTAGGCTTATGACATAAATATTTATAGTTGGGATAAGAATGATCTTGAGTAAAAAAAAAAAAAATCAACATCCTCTACCAACTGTTACAAGAAATAGAACACAAGATAAATGTTTCCAAAATAGAAACAAGAAATCTGGAATTGGAATGAAAGCAATAATGGCACATATCTTGAATCCATCATAAAAAATTCAGGATGTGGAATTTGTAAATACTAAACACTTCAAATACCTCAATGTATGGATCATTTATAACAAATTT